CAATGGATCTGCATCCACACTGGCTGGTGCCGTGCTTGCCCGTTGCACAACCGGCACTGTTAAGGCACGGACCACACTGGTGGTCGTAGCACGAAATGTCGCAGAAAGAATTTTTCAGCTGCTCGAGGAAGTTGTAAATACTTGAACAAGCGTAAATCAGATACGACAGATAACTACCGGCAAACTTAGGAACAAATACACTGTAGGCCGAGGCGTTGAGCGGTCGCATGATATAACCGCAATCTGACTGTCCACAGCCAACGAGGTAGCCAATATCGCAGACATCGTTAATATTATGCATAAAGTGCGATGGAGAGTCATACATTCTGCGGCATGAATCGAGTAACGACACAGCATCACTAGAATTGCAGCCTACGGTAGCTGTTATTTTGTCGGTGATGGCCTGTTGGATGGAGTGCTCTTTCCCACCTTCCTGCATTCCGTTCCATCTGCGTACAAGCTTGTAATAGAATGAGAATACGTCCGGGAATGTCGCGGGTGGACGGCCAAGCAGACAATTAAGCGCTGAGTAGAGAGTCGTTAAAATGCCTTGGTTACCGCACAGTTTGGTCAGCACGTTACATAGCTCCTTGCCTGTGCGTTTGGTTACAGAGAAAGCTCTAAAGCCGAGTGGCGTTAAACATGGCATCTTACTTGAACCGGTGGAGCACGTTGAACATTTGGCTTTGCAGCCCACTGAACCAAGCTGATGAGGCAAGTGGCCGGGCAGGCCGTCAGTAAGGTACAACATCAGCGGTGAACCGGGGCGGCAATCTGAAGGCTGATCGGAATGCTGATTACAATCCCGATTACCGGATGAGACATCTTTACCGTATTGGCACTGGCGCCAGCCGTTGTGTTTGGCGTCCAGGCTACACATCTGACAGAGATATACGAGCACTGGATACACTCTACGAAGGATGTCTAGCAACATATCAAGACACTCGCCAGGATTGGACGGGTAGTATAGATTCATTGTGTTAGTGCAGTAGTCGCAGGCGTAATACGTTGCGGCGTCACCGGTGCCGACGATTGCTGTCAACAGGTCATATGAAAGGGAACATAGGTTTGTAAGAGCATCTCGTGTATCATTATATGATATGTCATGCGGGTAGGCATCTAAGTATAAGGTGCCCACGGCTGTCAATGGGACGCCAAGGTCCTCGTCGGGCTGTGCTTTGTTTTCCTTCTCTGGATCGTCAAACTGCTCAAGCAGAGTTATGTCACGCATAGGTGACCATACGCGATTATACGTGAGACCCGAACACCAAGCAAGCATTTCGTAAACATTACAGGGCTGCGTGGCTTTGTGCGTAGTGCTAAGTGAGAGACTTCATTAAAAGTGTCAACGTGATGTAAAAGGCATTCAAGGAGGTGAGTGATATTAAATGTGTTTTCAATTTGCGTTTTCGTTTTGTCTGGTAAACACTCCTTAATGTGCTTAATTTGTTCCGTGTCGTCGAACGATTTGGCAAGAAGTTTCTGAAGAATCTGCTGACCATTGAGATCAGAGGGATATTGCAACTCGGAGTCCTTGGAATTTTCGTCGTGGCCTATTTTAAAGCCACAGCGTTTCATGAATTTGCCAAGTGGATTTTTAATGCGGCCCTGAATCTCACAGCATTTTTTGTCCTTCCATTGATCTTCGCTGTTACACTTCTCTTTCACCTCAGTGAGGCTGTCGTGGATGGTATAGAAACTTGTAATAAAGGCCTTCGCATATTTGTCCTTGTCGGCCTCTTCGTACGGTAGTCCCTCATAGGTATTGAGGTACGCCTTGCTCAGCTCTTTGGTGAGGGCATCAAGGCCCTCCTTCAGAGATTGTAACATGGGAGTCGAAGATGCACCGAATTCGGAAGGATGCAAGGCACGAAGTTCATTATTAAGTGATTGTAAGTTATTGTTAAATTCGTTGTTGAAGTGCTTGGATGTTATGAGCTCTGCCAGCATTTTCTGCAATGCATCATTTGACGTCTCAATTTTTCTGAAATCTTTACTGAAGTCCGGGTTTTTTTGATAATCACGGAAAAATCTTCTAACGCTTCCATGCAACTTTATGGCCGCCTGGCTGAGCGGAGATTTCTCTTGCGAAGGTGTATTTTCAATGTCCTTAATACCTACGATTGATTTAGGGTTTGTAATAATATGCTCTGCAAATTTGGACATGAAGGCCTTGTGGCCTAGTGTTAAGTCATGTAAAATATCTTTTGGCAGAGGTTTTAACTCCTCCTCTACCTTTTCGGCAAAAGATGTAAGCAAACGTTTTATGGAGTCAACGTACTGTTTCTGGAAGTGTATGGTGATAATGTTTTGAGCCGCCTCGATTTCTTTGTTGACTAATTTTTTAAGCGTTTCAACGGTTGCGTTGCGCAACGTGTCGGCGGTGCCAGCGATCCTTGTGAAGTTTTTGGCGTCCTTGATAGGACCAGACTCAAGCTTTTTTTGCAGCTCACTGAGATCACTGTGGATTTTGTTGATGCTTTCGGCTGCTTCCTTTGGACTTGCAGAATCATACTTCTTAAAATATTTATCTTTCAAGTCGTTCAGCTGGCCCTTGGCGTAATACCCTATTCTTTTAATGGCCTCACGCAGTTCGGTGACGTGGGTGGTGACCACTCCGACTTGCTGTTCGACCTGAGATTTCAAGCTGTCGATACTGGACAACGCATCATCCACCACCTTGGATTTGAAATCATTAATGGCATCGTCGAGAATTTCCTTCCTGCTCTTGGCATCGGTAGCCTGCCTACCTCTACCGTTCGGTCTAGCGAAGGAATACGTAAAGTTAGTAAGTTGGACTCCACCATCATTGTCCGGAGGCAACTGCGCAGTAACTGTTCGCGTCACCTCGTTAATTGCCGTATCAACTTTATCGGCATAGTTGGTGCCAGAGGAGCCGGGGGGACCGATACCACCAGCGGACAGGCCAAGTGCCTTTTCAAGATTACTGTCAAGCTGCTTAGCATCCGCCAATGTCTGCTCTACGTAACGTTGCATTTTGGATGCATTGTCACCGGCAAACAAAGCGACTGTCTCACCAACCTGTTTAGCTGCACCAACTAGTGCGGGAAGAATGAGATTGACGGCTGATTCGAGATTAGTTTTATCATGCTTTCCAGTATTACTGCCATATAAATCCTTTTCTTCGCCAATGGCCTTGACAATCATGTGAACATTAATTTTCAGGTGCATCATTGCTCGACCAAGCCCTTCCGCAAATTGTTCGCAGGCCTGCTTGACTGCTTTAACATTATGCTCGATGCTGTTCGGATTACTGGCTTCGACAACTGTAGCGAAAGGGAACCCTCCGCTAAAAAACTTTTTCTTAACTTCATTACTAATTACAGATGCGACTTTGTCGTTTAGCATTTTATATAATCCATCCTGAGCGCCACTTGTATATGTCGATTGCAGATGAGCACTGTTGCCGCTGACATACGCAGCAAGCAGATTTTTGACAGGCGCCTTATCAAATATATGGTTCAACCACTCCTTCACCTTATTCTCAAACATTCCGTTTGCAAACGTCTTCGCATATTCGTGTACGCCATCGACAATCCCCTTGAGGCCTGATCTTCCCGTGATCCCCGCAACCTTGCGTTGAATATACTGCATAACAGCCACAACTGTCTTAGTGCCTGTCCCCTCTCTGCCCTGTTCGACGACATGATGAAGCTTCCCAATTTCTGTCTGAATTTCCGTGACCTTCGCATTTATTGCCATCTTCATCCCATTCAAATCCTCTTTGAGTCCCTTTTCCAAATGATCCACCTTCTTCTTAGCGTCTGTCACCAACCTCCCTACTTCACTTTTTGCAAAATTCGCAGCATTATAAAGTTGATCAATATCCCTCTGGACTTGGTCGGCCGCCGCCCCAATCTTCATCGGAAATATACTCCCATACGATTCATCAACATTTTTTAAAATGTCATCTACATTTTTGTCAGCCGCCTTAATGGCGCCATCTGCTGCATCAATCCACTTTCCCAACTTGTGAACAAACTGTACCAGACTCTCACGGAGTTTCTGAAGCTCCTTTAAAATATCCTCTACCAGTTTTTTCAACTTCCTAACAAGATCAGTCACTTCCGTGGTAATATGTGAACTGATCTCTTCTCCACACTTTTTCATCACTTCGACAACTTTTTTTGTCCTCTCTGCCGTATCTTCTCTTTCCTGCCTACGCACCTTCTCAAGGCGCTCGGCTTCGTACTGAACAGTACTACGAACATATTCAATTTTATCACGTAATTTATCATTTAAGTCATTAAGTGCGACTTTAGTTTTTTCATCAGTCTTATGTGTGTCTAATGCGCTAGTAAAGTGCTCGGCGTATTGCCGACATTCCAAGGCCTTCTTGTCGACCAGCTCCTCGGCCAGTCCAATTTTCTTGGCGTCCGGCGTACCTGAAACAGAATGAGTTTCTAAAATTTTACTTACCGTTGTTTTTAGCCTCTTAATCTCTCTGTCGAAATCTGTGATCTTGCTTTTAACATGGTTGTTACTCTCCCTCACTTCCCTATTATACTCCCGGACACCATCTGCCACCTTGACAATGGCACTCTTGAAACCATCATGACCTGAACATAATTTCTCATTCAAAGCATCAACAACACTCTTCAAATGGCTTTCTTTCCCTACTTTGTAAGGCTGTTTCTCATAGACATCATTAAGCACGGAATGCAAGAACGCCATCACCCCGTCGCAGAGCCTGTCAAGGTCGGAGTACACAATTCCCTCTCCGGTGTAACTCCCGTTACTGAAGCCGAGAAATTTTTCGAGGCATGTGCAGAGGTTATTTAATAATGTTGTTGAAGGATTATTTTAGGCACATTTTAGGGCGATTTGGGGGAATTTGGGGAAAGGCGATTTTAGGTCAAGGAGGCAGTAAGGCAGCGAGGGAGGTGGGTGGACAAGGTGAGGGAAGGAAGGGGCGAAAGAAGGCGATGAGGGAGGAAGATGGGTTGAGGTAAGGCGGTTTTGGAGGTGGAGGGAAAATGTGGAAAATGAGGATTTGGGTGAAGGACGCCGACGGAGGAGGTGATGGAGGGGTGAAGGGCAGGGAGCGAAGCGACCAGTGAAAGAGGGAGGAGAGTGGGTGGATGAGTGAGTGAGTGGGTGGGTGGTTGAGTGGGTGAGTGAGTTGGTGGTTGAGTGAGTGGTTGGGTGAGTGAGTGGGTGGTTGAGTGGGTGGGTGGGTGAGTGGGTGGTTGAGTGATACACAGATCACACGTGAAGGCACGATTACGGTGAGAAGTACTTGCTTGACGCTGGCAATTTTCCCAACCCTTGCTACGGCGAGCAGCGACTGCGCGGCGATGCGGTGCGATGAGGGTGATTTCAGGTGGGAGCGGATCCTCAGGACGTCGAGGCGGACGACGGCGATGTGCAGCAGGTACAGGAGCGACAGCGACCAGAGGGCTACGAGAGTCCATATGAACTTTTCTCTAATATCGAAAAGGAATTGTGGAATATGCTTGTGCACTAAGTCATAGAGAACGCTACCGTCCTTTACAACCTTTTCTAATGCTGTACAGAAATCCTGACATGTGCGCTTCATTTCCTTCCTTTTCTCACCACTCAGTCCATGTGGGCTTTTAAAAGTGAAGCCGTATGCATACAATGTCGGATGTATATTTTTGCACTTAACAATGGATGTGCATCCATCTTCATGATTTACATCCTTGAGTTGTTTGGGAGTATTACCAGTGCCGTAAGAAAAATTTATTTTGCACTGTGAATCACAGCATTTGTCGTAGCACCTGGTGCCTGGTTTATTGCACTTTCCACAACAATCTTCATATAGTTTTTTAAGTAAGTCATAGAACGTTTCTGTTATATATACAACCCATGAAAGATAGTTACCAGAGTGCTTACCGGAAAATGTATCACAACATTCAAGAGACAGAGGCTGTAGGTATGGACCGCAGGGAACAGCTGGATTCTCATTTTTATTGCATATGATGAGGCTGAACAGATCACCATTTTTATGCGTATTGCTAGAATGACTATCGTATTGATGAATGAATGTAACGTCCAACTTTGTTTCCTTGTTCCCAAAGTTGGCCTTTCGGACAGCTTCATCAAATGCAACACTCTTAAGCACCGAAGTTTTCTTTGTGTCACCCCAGAACCTGAGCAATCTATGGTAAAACGCTAGCATATCACCAAGCGTCTGCGGTGCTACGCGGAGCAGGCAGTTGAGGTAAGAACACAACTTATTGAGTTTAGAATCTGGACCGCAGAAATGTTTGAGTTCACCAAGTAGATACGCACCTTTCTGTGTATGAGAGGCTACAATACCAATATCTGCAAAACCCATGGGAGTAAGACATGGTTTACCAAAGTGATTGCCTAGGGAACATGTCAGCTTACAGCCAGGTGTGGTAAATGTATGCGGTAGGAAACCTGGAAGGCCGTCCTCCAGGAAGGACTGAAGGGGTGATTTAACACCGCATTTGGGATGTTGGTTACACTTTTGGTTAGTACCTTGGTTAGCACTTTGGTCAGCACGTTGGTTAGGTCTTAGGTTACACTGTTCGTTGGGACACTGTCTCTCATTACAGTCCCATGATGAACCACCCACATATCTGCCATAGTGGCAGTCAGCCCACCCGCCTCTAATACGGCTGTTGTTACATTGTAGGTATAGGAAGTATGTTTGTTGACACACTCTCTTCAAAATATCTACAAGCATGTCTAAACACTGTGATGGAGCATATGGATACAATAAATTATCGATGTTTGTGCGGAAATCGCAGGCGTAACGGCCATCAGGATGGCCGTGACCTAGGATGGCGGTTAGTGTAAGTTGCGAGCGCAAACAAACTTGTTGGAGTGGAGTGTGTAAATCACTAGCTTTAAGATTTTCAGTTTTTGTGTGTTTCTCTCTGTCTGGTACGACAACAGCTAACTGCTTGATATCCTTATCAAAAAGTCCATTAAATTGTTCCTTCACCTTCTCGTACATCGGATTAAAGTAGAACCCAGAAAGCCAACACAGCATCTGATAGATATTTGAGGGGGCCTTAGTTGACGAATGATGTTCAAGTTGGCATACTTGGTAGTACTTTCGAAGAAGTTCGCGTATGAAGTCAACAAAGTCGAACAGAGATATCTCGGTGCTATTTGTAACGGTTGGATATTTTGTTTTCCTCCACGCCTGTATAATCGGAAATGTGGAACCATCGGTAATTTTCTTGATAAGAAGATCACTACTAATATGCGTGCCCTTCTTGGTATCTTTATCTTGCAACTCGCCAGCCTGCTTGCCTTTCTCGGAGTTGACTTCGTATCCTCTTTTATGGAAGAAGTCACCAAGTGAATTCTTCTCGTAAGTGTTAATTTGTAATTG